ATAACTCCTCATGCCATTTGCACTGCTTCCAGGTGTTTCTGCTGGCATTATAACTTGTCATTAAAGGATGCTGAGAATACAACCATCCTGTGTCCCTGTCAAAGTGACAGCTCAGAACTGCCTGCAGGCCGAGAGCAGCTCCTCAGGGGCAGCTCATAAATCATGGGGATGTAACCCTTCACATCTGATAACCCAGCTCAGCTGAGGCCATTGCTGCTGTGGCTGTGGCAGTGCAAACATGCTGCCACCACAGCAGCCTTTCCAAGCAGCTCTGTAATTCCATCAGCATGTCAGAGAGGACGTGGGAATAAGGTGTTCAACTCATGTGTATCAATACAAGTACTGCTGCCTTTAACAGGAAGGCAGATGAAGTCCCAAGTAAACTTTAGCATCAAATCCCTGAGCACACAGTCACAGCTGTGGCTGGCAATAAAAGCTGTAAAGCACTCATGACAGCCAGGGGATCTGCAGCTGCACATGGGGCTGCTTGTCTGGGGAACACCAGGGACTCATTCCTGCAGCTCCCTTGAAAGGAAGTGACGGGCAACAGGCAAGCAAACATTTCCCATTTCATCCCTACAGTAAAAAGAGCCTCTCCCAATTAAATTTCCTCATTTCAGCCATTAGCAGTTAAATCCCAGACTATATGCCAGTGTAGATGTGCTGGGGCAAAGGTGAAAACATGAAATGAATTTCCAGTTTATTGCCATTGCAATTTCTCCTCTTGACAGTTTTTTACAGCCACAAATAGAAACACTGCATACAAACTCAAGATCTATGAGCTCATACAACCCACACCAGAGAATGCAACTGGAAGGTTGCTTTGCCTGCAAAAAGATTATATTCTTTAATTATAATCTCTTCAGGAAAAATATAGCCAGGCAAACAGAAGGAAGCACACCCAAAGAGCTACTGCAAACATAAGACAATAATTAATGACTTCCTATTTTGGAATTTATTCTCTCTTCAAAAAGTACAATCAATAGGATCCGTCTCCCTGGTACAGAGGGTTCTATAAATGTAGATCAATTAAATGCAGCATGGACAGAAATGCTTGCAATGCATTTTCAAGGCTGTGTTTGATCAATAAACATCCCAAGAGCTCAAGCATCCACAGCTCTGGCAGAGCTGGGCACTCCCACCAAGAACACATTAGCTAATGCCTTAGACTCTGCTCTTCTGAGTAATGCCCAGGGCAAAAACTGCCATTTCTCTTCTCATTAAGGAACAAAACCCTACAGAAGCTCTGAGCTGCTTGGTCCTGCCTAAGGAACAATCCCAGGCTCTGCACGTAGCACAGCACATGTGGACCACCTGATCCCTTAAATGAATGAAATTTAGTGACAAACACAAGTACACGTTTTGACAAGCTTATAGGATCAAAATTGCTTTCAGTAGCAGACTGCATTGAAGAAGGGACAATATTTTGCCATTTTGAAAATTATTAAGTAGTACTTCAATAACAAGATCTTCCTTCTTAACAGACCTGGTTGCAAACTGACACACTAAATTAATTAATTTCTGCTGATGTTCAAATGGTGTTTCAGCAGCTTCCTGAGAAATACATCTCAGAAAGAAGACCCTAGTGACAAGAGATGGATATTACTGAGTCTTTACAGATTTTTTTTAAGATCTTTTCAGAAACAAAGGTTGATTTTGTATCCAAGAGGAAAAACGAATAAAGCTGATAACTTTGCCTTCACCCCTGAACAGCCTTCATGAATAAGCTGCAGTGAACCCCCTATGGGGATTCACCTGAGGGAGTAGGTATAATGTCAATGTCAGACTAACACAAAAATCTCATTTCCACTTTGATTTGCAGCATTTCCCAGGTAATAATCTCAAACATTTTTGATGCTAATGGAACAAGATAGGTCCAAGCCTATTGCCAATGCAAGGAAGTTTCTTGTTCTAATTAAAAAAACAAAGGCAGATGCTTTCTTTGTACATTAATTTCTGAAACAGTACCAGCTTCACCTCTCAAAGATGAAACCAGAAAGGGGCTGGGTGTGCTTTCAAGGCTTCCCAGACACAGACATGAGCACATTCACCTCTGCATGTACAGCAATACTCCAACACAAGTCTTATCTAACCCTGACACCTGACCAGGAAATAAAGGCAGGAATACAATTTATTTTATACATATTTCTATCCATATTTCCCCCCCCCCACCCCCCAGACTTTTTCTGGACTGAAGCAGCTCTTGAAAGAAAGCAAGAAGAAAGGAAGCAAGAAAGCAGACAGCAGTTTGGTTTTTAATTTGTTTTCAGAAATCTGTTAATCTGAAATTTAGTTTGTCTTCCCACATTCTCCTTCCAGTTCAACTCAATAACATTATGTACTAAACACAATGGTCTCAAAGATCAAGATATTTCCAATACATCTCAAGACATTAATGCTAATTAAAGTTGATCAAAAGACTTTGTTTGAGATACAGCAAAACCAGGCTGAACAGTGACAAGATGTTACTTTATAACTTTATTCTGTTTAGATCACAAGGGCCACATGTATGGCATTATTCAGTCATTAGCATTGCTTCACTGCTGGTAATTTTTGCTCCATCTTGAAATTAGAATCAAACACTATATAAAGGTAATTAAAAGGAACTAAACCTCATGTCTCCAATTAAGAAAAAGTAGTTTTTAAAGTGAGATTGGAAATACAGGTTATATAAACACTTCAGGGATAACACAGTTCATATTTATTTTAACTCACAGCAGCAATTATCAAACAGATTCTTTGCAAGTCTTTCTCAGTCTATAGACTATGACTAAAATTATCAGATAGTTCATTTTCAAAAAGCTGTGCAAAAGCAGCAAGTCTTACCATGGATAAGGGAAGTTGCTTGTTGTATCTCCAAGGATGAGAATAAAAAAAAAAAAAAGGTAAAAGTACAGGAATAGTTTTGGGAAGAGATAAAGATGAAAAGAGACAAATTAGCTGTAGTAAGGTGAACAGAACACACACACTGAAGAGGGAAATAGAAATTATGTATTTGTTTGGAAGCAGAAGCAGTTTGAGGAAGAAGAGATGAGTCATCCTCAAAAGAGCCACAGAAACACAGACTCCATGGGACCAGATGTACTAAATATCAGTGAATCAGGGAGGGAAGGAAATTAAAGATATCTCAACTAGACTTCAAGTTTAGTTAAAGATGAAAGGGCAAATTTTACATCGGAGAGAGAAAGAATTTGGTCAGCAAAATCATGAGGGAATGAAAGAAGGTACAATTCTGTATGCTGAAGAACAGAAAAATTGGCAGAAAAAAATGAAATATTGTTTTTGAAGACTATGAGTCTGAAAGCAGCTGACATGCTGCTGTTCAATCCTTCTGCAGGTGCCACCAGACAAAATCCCAAGGAGCACAGCTGGAGGTAGCAGCTACTTGTATTGACCCAGAAGTTTATTTGTACCATCTGCTTCAGAAATATCAGTCAAGGGGAGCAAGGCAGACACCTGGGGGTATCCACACAGAGAAATCACTCAGAAGAGGAAAGAAACTTCATCAGGGGAAAAGGATTCTGTCAAAAATGAATAGCTGATGCTGTCAAAAGGAGCAAAGCTCTTGAGAAGGACCATCAGCTGGCCCAGGAGCAGGCAGCCTGAGTTTCAGTGAACATCCTGAACAGCCCTGCAGTCAGGCTGGCCCCCCTCTTTTCACACTTAAGTATCTGAGGAGTGGCCTGATTTTCAAGCTAACAGCAGTTTTTCAGGGCTTTCAGTAGCACAAATGTTTGGTGAAAAGTCCAAGCAGTATACATCCCATAAGTAAACTGTCCATCCAACAGAACAAGTCCTACAAATGGCTGAAATCAGGACATCTCCTTCTTCAAAAATTCCCAGCAGGAATGGTAGGATCCAGCTGTCCATCTCTAATGCATAATTCAGCTGTCACCCAGGAAATGTGACCTGCACAGGCTGGGTCAGAGCAGGAGCTGCAGTCTGGAAGCCCCTGGGCAAGGCTGATCCCACGCAATGTTTGTTACACGTCTGGGATGGAATGGGACAAGCCAGGCCTGGGAAGTGCCAGCTGAGAATGCCTGGAGAAATGGGGGCAGACAGAGTCCAGACAGCAGCAAGGAGACAGAAGAGAAGGAAACAGCTGGAAGGACAACTTTTTAAAGAAGGGAGTCTTCATTCTAAGTAAAGATTTCAGGATTTCAAGGTGTTTTGCTTAAGTAATACATTAAAGTCCCATACAGGTTTGGCAGAAGGGGAGTAAAAATTAAAAGAATAAGCAGTTCCCCAAAAAGGATCAAACAGGGTATTTCAGTATAGGAAGAAATGTGTCCTGTGTTCACCATAAATAAGGAGAGATGTTCATTGAAATAGCCCCTAGAGTAAATATATTTAAACCCACTGAAGTAATTTCTCACCTCAAAACAAAACCTAAAAAGCCTATATTGAGAAAATAATATTATTATGGTATTATTAACAAATATAATCATGCTGCTATCAAGCCTAAATGTTTAAAGCTAGCGGATTACTGTCACACAGATGAATAATGATATGAACAGAGTCACTCTCATGCCTTTGGAGGATTAAGAATGGAAATTTGTCTCTTTGTCCAACCAGGCAGGTTGGGCTACTTCAGAGAAAAAAGGATGATGGCCCTCAAGACTAAATCTCAGATCTTAAGAAAAAAGGACAATAACATTTACCAGAATATTTACCAAGATTGTCAGAAGCAGGATTAGGCAGCACTTCAAAGATAACAAGAGACTGTACTGTCTTCAAATCCAATAAACATTAATTCTGCCCTTTGAAACTACTTCTCATAGGACATTAAAGCTACCATGTAATTTTAAAACAACCATAAAAATCACAGTCAATCATTTTCCTTTTTGGTAACTGTACAGTGCAGTTGGAAAAAAAAAGTGCCATGTATTACACAGCAGCCTGACATGAGTCTGTTCAGTACCACAGAAAGCACAGATCAATAGTTCTCTGTTTCTGAAAAGTTTACAGCATTCTTTAAAAACCATGGGAAAAAAGCTCACCCAGTTTTCAAGCTGACCAAGGCATCTTCGACTCCTTTCTGGTTAAACTTGGTCATGTAAAGGTGCATATCAGGGTAGTTGTTTCGGATATTCCTCTCGGTGCTTCCATTTGGGACCGTTCCAAACCGAAAAGGAGGTGAATAATCATGTGGCCTTTGAAACTAGAGATAAAGAGGATAAGCAAAGTGTTTCAGGCATCCAGAATGTGAAGAGCAATTTCAGGTTGAAAAAGAAGTTGTGTGAATTGCCTCGAATTTCTTCTAGGCAAAGGCTGTGGGTCAATTCAGGTCTATTATACCAGAAACTGTCTTCACACCAATTGATCATCTACATCCAAGGTAAAACCAGCTCCATTTTGCCACTCAATGTGACTCTCTCCCATGCTTTCCACTATGGCAGGACAGCAGAAAGTGGAGCAGATCCTCATCTCTCTAGGGAACCCGAACACACTGGCAAACTGCAACCAAAGGAAAAGTGTTTTGTTGCTAGTCATTTTACACTTCCATCTCAGTTGGGACATTGTGATTCCGCATCAGGAAGATGGGAAAAGGACCAACCACAGTACTCGACAGGGAGCCCAATGCCCCAGTCCTGGAGGGTGCCAGGGATTGCAGGGAGCTGTGCCAGGGAGAGGCAGAGTGAGGGAGTTTCCTTCCACCCATGACTGGAGGGGAATAAAAGCTCTGGCAGCTTCCACAGGGGCTCAGCAACTCACTGGTTGATATGAGAAGGGCTTCTGGAGCTCCCACACCTGTAATCCTAGTCCCTGTTCAACCCTACCATTGCAAACTAGGAACCATTTGCTTAAGGACATATAGGTTTATTCTAAAATGTTACTCTCTCTATCAGTATTGCATCAGCACAGATGAACCAGCCAGGGGGGATCTGCAGAGGAATGGCAATAGCTCAGGGCACATTCAGGCTTCACACTTGGCAGTCCTTCAAATAATCTCACATAAATTTTTTTGCTAACAGACCTGAAAATTTTATATGCACCTTTTCAACATCTTCCTTTAAAACCCAAATGACAATTTAGGATTAAAATGTCTCTTTAAGAAACAAATGAAAAAGGTCACTCAGATTAGAGGAACCACTGGCTAATGAGGAAATTGAATTGAGCATTGATAAAAGCAGTCACCCATGAATTCCACTCTAAATGCACTCTGTTTTTATTGCTGAAGTTAGAAGAGCAATCTATATTGCTGCAAATCCTGTGCTGCAAGAGATGCCTAATATTTATACAGCTGCTGATTCCTTTGGGGCTCCATATGAAATATTTTTCTTTTTAACATTTGGTCTCAGGGCACCAAGAATTCCCAAGATCCAGTGCCAATTTGCAAAGAGAATACAAATGGGTTTATACAAAAACTGGGAGTATTTTCAATATCATCAAACCTTGACTGTGAAATTATTGCTACAACACCATTTTCTTGTTACAGAACTACAATTAAATGCTTCATTTTAATTAAGCATATTTTGACAAAGCATAAAGGAATGAACTCTATTTTTCTCTATTTGTTTAGCTAACAGATGTCTTACTTTCCTCATTTTCCCTTTTCAGAGCTTTACTGTTTAAATTATAACTTTGCTACTACTTTTACACATAGTAATTGACCCATGCACCAAAATTACACTGTACACTACTCATGATTCTTAGTCTATATTTGTTATCTCCCTTTCTCAGTTTATTATGCAGCACTGAAACGAACCCTGCTTTTAAACATATGTCCAGAGATTCTACTGATATAAATGTAGCTTGCTATCAACTTTATTTAAATCTGGAGATAATGTATCTCTGATCTATTGAGATGGCTTCATGTGTCTCCTAAATTTGCCAGTCAATAGAACTGGAAAAAAATAGAACTGTCAATTTCAGGAGCTGTGAGACTTGCTGCTCCTTATATTGTTGGAATATTTTGGAAATTCAGCTGTGGTGAGCATTCTGCAAGCTCAGCTCCCAGTATGGCAGGAGATCTGGGGGAATGGTAGGAGAACTGGGGGAACAGGGACATTATGGTGTATTCTGGTGATTTCAAAATTGAGTTTGTTTTTAAATAGTCTCATTTTTCAAGAACATTCATATGAATCTAGGATGTTGGCAGGCATTTCCTCTCATAGGAATAGTTGAAAGAATTAACACATCTGTTCAAATTGAACGTTCATGGAAGACAAAAATATTTCTGCAGAAGAGAAGGATTAATAAAAAGCCCAAGTTCAATCAAAAGTCACAGAGTTAAAAAGCAAATGAATAGTTACAAACCCCATCTACAGACTGGAATTTCTTGGCACCAACCAAAAAATATTATCACTCACAAGGCGATTATTTTTGAAACTATCTTCTGGTACTACTGCCTGCTCACAGACTACTTGCAAAAAAGAAAGAGGTTTAAATCTTTTTGCTAATACTGTACTCATATCTGAGATAAATAAAGTTTTCATCAACAACATTAAACTTCTATTCTGTGAACCACCATGTCCTGGAGAAGCACACAGGACTGTCACTGTCTGTGACTGCAGCAAAGATCTATGTGGCAGACAAGAAAAGAAAAAAAGATCAAGCCTCTACATGCATTCATTGTCCCTACAGTCCCATGATGAGAAACAAAATATGTCATGTTTGCTAGGAAATAATTTTCTTCCTAGACATTTCATGAAATGCTGATCTGTTAAATCATGGACAGAATTCTTGAACTGAATGCACAAGGCCCTTGTTTGAGTCATAGGGGAGAGATCTGCTGTTATTCTGAAGAGTGACCAATTCATTCTTGTCTCCCCCTGCTCTGCCACCTGACAGAACTGTAGTACATGGCATCACAACTCCGGTCTTTTGCTTTTATTTTTATTTTTCTATATGCCTTAATAAAACTAGCAATTTCATTAAGCCAGCAAAGAGATCTTCCAGAAACATTACATTGTGACTTAAAGATTTACATGCTTGCCTGAAAAGGCTGGTGCTGAGAGCAGCTGTTTGTTATTGTTCTGGAGCTTTTTAAGAAACTGTGGGAAACACTACTAAAATACTAGAAAACAGTAAATAATATCCTGCTGAGAGCAGGAATCACAACTCTTTTGGAGTGACAGAGGAATGCCCATATTTGAACCCTTCCTTTCCTCTCCTCTTTTACCAGATGGGAACCTGGCATTCTGACTTGTGATCCTACAAAGATGCAGCTGTCAGTCCCTCCAAAACTGTCCTTGTGATCCTCAGCTGCCGCAGGGCAGGGCCAGCTGTGCCTGCCCAGCCTCAGGAGGCACAGGAAGGCTTTGAGGCTCTCCCTCCCTGCCCATCCTGGCTCTCTGCTGTCACACGGGCACATCTCAGTGGCTGCACAGCCTGTGCCATCCTGGGGCACAGGAGCAGAAAGCCAAGGCAACAAGAACACTGTGAGTCTTGCAAAAATAAGGAGCCTGTCAGTGGCATCATTAAGGTTTCCTGTTGAAGTTGAAGAGAAGCTCCTGGAGCATGTGTACATGAGGCAATTCCCATCTGTGACAGAAGCCCAGCAGACCAACACTGTGTGAGACAGTTCTGTGCACCGCTACCTACCCTCCTTCAGCAATTTTTTTCCTCTTTCATTGCATGAAATATGCATAAAAGGTCTCAAAAGTACAAAAGCCACGAATTTCAGTCTTTGCTGGATACTTTGGACTCATTTTCTGTACAAAGACAAAACTTTTGATCATCTATTACATACACAAGAATGTCAAAATATAATTTTCCTCTCATTTGCTGAATCATTTGAGTTTATGAACACCCACCCCTCCTAACTCCAGAACATGCTGTGCCATGTATCTCTGGGTGACACTCTGATGATGTGGCATTCACAAATTCATTAGCAACATCTCAAGGGATGAGGAAACTATAAGGAGGTCTTAGAGCACCGAGGGATAAATAACATTTTATCATGTCAGCAAACCTGGTTAACCAGCTGATAGAGTGCAACAGAGTTCCTGAATGGGACAATTGAGTGCTGAGGGTCAGGGATGGCTGCTCAGAGAGAGGGGGGCATTTCCTGATGTTTCCAAAACATGGGGACACCCCAGCATCTCCAGCTGGAAACATTTTATTGCACTGGCAGTACAGCATTGACAGAAGAGCTTGACTTGTCAGGTATGGCAGTAGGAAAAGTGGGAGGGAAGAATAACAAACTGATTTACCAGCCCAGAAGTGGGGTTTGGGTTTTTTAATTTTTGTACAAAATTTAGTGAACTTTTAGGTATTAATTATTCAAAATTGATTATATCTACATTTCTGGCCCTTGCCTATGATTGCTTTGCTTCCTGCAAGGGTCAGAGTTCTGTACTGAATTGCATAAAGATGGCAAAGAGGGGAGAAAAATAATTTAACAACAATCAGATTACATTCCTATAAATTATCCCAAATTATTTCATGTTTAAAATCCAAGAAACCTCAGGATTGTGGAGGAGGCAAAACCTATGTATGACAAGAAGAATGTTCTGAATTAGTTCATTACTCTTCTGGAGTTCTAACTTCTTTAATTTAATCAGAAAAGGCATGGCTTCCCTGACTTATATCTATGTGCTTCAGGCAAAGTTTGAAGAACCAAAAAATAGAAACAAAGGTGGCAGATCAAATAAATGATCAGCAGACCACACAAGAACAGATGGTATTTTCTGATTCAAGTATTTTTCTATTTTTATTTTGCTTTTTGTGGAAACGAAATCCTACTTAGCAGTCAGAATAGGAAAAATTATGAAAACTAAGGAAGTTATTAGCCAAAAGCTAGAGAACAAGAGTTGACATTTCCAGCTCCATGGCAAAGAGCCAGCAAGGAGGGGAAGGTGAGGGTGCAGCCAGACCTGAGCCCCACTGCTGTGCCAGGTGCAAGGCAGAGCCTGCCAAAACCCAGGGGAATGCTCTGTTCTCTCTCACCAACAGGAGAAAGACATTTCTCAAATCTTCTTTTTTTTAATCCCCAAGAGAGAATGCCATTTATCTGTCTCTTCTAAGAATATTCTCTTAAAATAGAGGGATATTTAACAATCTTCATGCTCTTTCAAATGTTGTGTGACAACTCAATTAAACGAAAACAAAACTATTATCATTTTTTGTTTATTTTTATCTTTCCTCTAGCCATGCTTGCTTTGATATACCAGGCAATCAATCAAAGGCCAATCATAAAAAGCAGTTAAAACAAAAAAAATAGACAAGGCTGAGATGTTGCCTTTTTAGTTTGTTTTTAGTAACACTTTCCTTTATTTTCTGTCCTTTGAGAAAAAAAACCTTTTGTGAAGTTGTCCCCTGGCTATACTGCATTTAAATATTTCTTCTTAATATTAATATTTAGTTTCATTTTCAAACAACTGGGCACAGATTTAACAAAAGCATGCCCTTCAGGTATTTTGTGCATATTCATCACAATAATTTTGCAAATTGACTTTTTTCTATTAATATACTACTAATATCCCACAAATTTTTCAAGCTTTTAATTTTAGTGAGGCCATTTAACCAAACATTAACTGATTTCTATCGCAAAATAAAGGTAATTTTCACTTCATGCAGCTACTTTTGAATAGGCAATGGAGAGATTTTGAAAACAGACTGCTATTTTCATGCTTTGGGTCTTAGGTTTGTTAGTAAGTTTGCACTTGCACTCAGAAGGAAGTCATCCAGTTTTAGTTTATTATCTTACTCAGAGTTTTTATCACAAAGTACAAATTTGTAGAAGGATTATGGAGAATGGACACTGACATCTTTTGAGCTGAATACCTACCTTTTTATCACTCAGCCCAGTCACTTGGTCAACAAATTCCTCTTGAATCATAAAGGCAGCTAAGTTGGCAGTGTAACTGGCCAGGAAAATGACAGCAAAGAAAGCCCAGACCGACACCATGATCTTACTCGTTGTCCCCTTGGGGTTTTGCACAGGCACAGAGTTGTTGAAGACCAAGCCCCACAGTAACCACACTGCCTTTCCAATGGTGAAGGATGGTCCATGGGGATCTGCAAGTGCAAAGAGGAGTTAGTTCAGCTACAGTTAAATTAAACTTTGCCAATATACCATGCAGGGACAAGCCATTAGTCCCAGAGATATGCTTAGAAAATATTTCAGTATATATATGCACTGTACTCACAATATAATCATAGGATTTACCATAGGTACCCCTCCATTGCAATGACAATGAGTTCCACTTTTTTAAAACACATTTCAACATTTTTCTATATGGCATATGGCTCAAAAATTTTAAGATGAAAATGGAAAGCATAGGTTTGGAGGAGAAGCAGGCTGGTATGTCTCCTGCAGGAAGAAATGTGCCACAGTGTTGCCCTGTCAGTTTTCTGTGCCAGAAAACATGTGAAGTGGAAAACTGAAGGTTTAAGTCTTAATGATGCAATTCTAGTACTTTTCTTACCCAAATTATTTTTATCATCTCCAGTCATCCAACATTATGCTTTTTGAACATTATGTAAGCATTTTTAAGATCAAAGTCTGTGAATGTGTCACCTACTTTTAAGCACCTTTGTACTCAGAGCATGAATCAGAAAGACAGAACAAAGGAGCTACCTCTATAGACAGGGAATTTAGTGCAAGCCAGGTTCTGGCTGCCTCACATGTTCAGAGTCAGTTGTGTGGCTCCAAATGTGTTGACATTACAGGTAAAATTCTGTCCCACCTAAGCCATCCTGTAAATTTTGTTATTTCTATTTAATTCACCCCAAAGCTGGAAGTGGCCAGCGTGCTGCCCCAGGCTCACACAGGGGCAGAAGTGAATTAACAATGTCATTATCCACTCCAAAGGCCTCACCCTGTGGGAGCCAAGGGCAGTGTTCTCACCCAGCTTTAGGTAAGTACAGTGCAATCACACATTGCTCATCATCCAGACTCCCTGTACCCTCAGTGCAGAGAAACCAGCCTCCCCTGACTGTGACTCATTTGGCCTACTTATAATTATCCTTTTTGCAGTTCAATTGTAATTTAGTCAATAAGCTCTGATGCAGAAATCTGTAACTTTATCTCCTTCCCTGTTCTGTCCCTTTATCCAAGGGGATGCACATTACAAATATAGATTTAGCTATTCTTTAAGCTATAATTTATTTTAATAATAAATCAATTATTCTTAAAATAATAAAGCCCTAAGTGGGTATACTCAGTGCATGTTCTCATTTCAGTAGAAATACTCTCTAGTGCACTGCAAATATTTCAAAATGCTGTCAAGATCTACATCTTAGATTATGCTCCTATTCTGAAGCAGCACTAGGAAAATAGAGTGCAGTAAAATAAACACAATGGAGCTGACTTTAGGTTTATGAAACTACCTTCTAGACATATTAAGGACTGAACTGATGCAGGGATAATGTGCATTTTTCTGACCAACTGTGTTACATAAATTATATGCCAAGGGAGCAATTTAAAGTTCTGTTTATGCCACTGGAGATTGTGCTACCACTGAGATTCATCCTGCAAAAAATGCCTACGGAAATGAAAGAAGATAAATACTTTTTTTTTTTTTTTAATATTCCAGGTTTGAAATTAATGGTAGCTGGATTTGTGGAAGTCTTTAGAGCTAAGTTGGGATGGTGTAGTGCCATAATATGTCTTTGTAGTAGGTACACTAAATAATCAATTCAGGCACAGAATAGAACAGCCAAGTCCCTGGACCCCCAGTGTCTATATTCACCTTTGATTTCCCCACTTTTGATACAGTGTTTATTTCAGACAGAGGTGACACATTTACCATCTTATTAAAATGTTAACATCATCTGAACATTACAATAATACACTTTTTCAGGAAACAACCCAGCCATTGTCTAGAAGAAATCATTTGCTTTTAATAGTGCCCAGAACTGTGTTCACCAAGCTGGAAGATCTCTTGTTACAAAACAAGGCAGGAATGATAAAAGGCCGCACTCTCAAATGTCTCTTAAAAATGTGAGAATGAGGGCATTGTGAGATATGGAATCCTCACTTTTGAGTCACAGTGCAGCTTTCACTGAGAAAGAGTTAATACAAAGCTTGTCTGTTTTGAAAATGAAGTTTCTGTAACCGAGGGTGCTACACAGGAAGGAGAGATGCCCTTCTGCCATGGGCCTCATTTCAAGGCTAAGAGTTCTTCTGACTTTTTACAGGGGCTACACAAAACTATGGACAATGTAACTGCTATTTTTCAAACTGCCCAGCAGACCACAGGATTTTAAGTAACTTTCTCTGAATTGGTCATGAATTTCTAATAGCCAGGAGTAGAACATATTTCACTGCTGACATTTTACAACTGATGCCATGTGCTAACCAAACACTGCCTGAATAAAACTCTGATACCACTAACCCTTCTCTCTGTCTTTATTCCATTGAATTGGAATTATAAATGTGAGCATATAAGCCTTCAAGAAATCATATTTTAAACTAAGAACATCAACAGTTTAATAGCTAATTTCATTGTTTTATTCCTATGTTATGTTTATTTGAAAAGATGGAGACGCAGGGATGGGAAATACATTATTTTTTAATAGACATGGAGTTGAGTAAAATGCAAATCTTACCTCTCCCTTGTGCTAAGTTCCTGTTGTATCCTACAGGACTAAAGTACTCAAATATAAAGACAGCCATGGCAGACACGATGAGAAGCATCACAAACATCATCACCCAGACAGAAGCACTAAAAGGCTCTGCAGCAAAACAGGAGAAACAGAAACACAGTTCATTAAACCAGTCACAGCACAAGAATTTTAATGTCCTCGCCTAGGCAAACCCAGCAGTTTCCTCTACATTAGGTTTTTCCAACAAAAATGCTAGCAAATAACTAAGCAATATATAATGAACTGCTGTTAGTATATATAGACAAAATCCATAAAGTCAAAAGCTTAAATGTAAGTTGTAATTAAAAACAAAAGGCTGAACACTTTTCTCTGGCACTGAGTGCCACATAATTGGTTTGACTCGCTGCTTACTCCACAATCAGGTTGCTGTGTCTATTCATCCTGTATTATAGAAATTTATCAACAGAATGGTCCAACTTCTATGACTGTGTTTCTGCAAAGCAAAAGCACTTAAGCATATGTTTAATACATTTGCTAATTCAGGGAAGTAGAGTTCTCTCTCATTTTCTATCCAACAAAAAGTGTTAGAGGAGGAAAGATAAATACTTGCATTCAAGCTAAATGTTTTTGTTTAAGGATTCTTTTCTCTGTGTGTTTACTTTCATCTACCCGCAATGAAGATGATATTTTTATCAATTGCAACCACATCCTTTTGAATGTCTCATTCTCATCTGGGAGCAAATTACTGAAATCAAAAGGTTTTATGGAAAATTGGATGTCAATTTGAAAGACAGAAGAACCATAATTAGGTAAAAGAAATATGTTTGAGCATAGATCTAAAAGCAGTTTCAAATACCAGACTAAGCACCAACTTTTTGAAAGGACTCAATATGAATATGAAATATCATCTTTCCCAACCACAGATTCTGGTCCTTTCAGGAGTCTCTGTGGTAGCTGCTTTGGTACAAGGATATCTCTGAGAAAGGTTACCATGGCAAACTAATATCTCTTTATCAGACCAACTTATTTGGGGCACTTCACATCATAACTTGTGCAAATAAAGCAAGTGTGAGCATGCTCTGAAGTGTGAGAAAACAAATCTTAGTATACTATTTATAATTAGGACAGAATCAAGAAACAATTGAAGTTACAGAAAATCAGTGTGTTTGAATGTTTTGCCTGTTTTTGAAAGCCCAAGAAGCTCCTTTCTTGTAGCTTTTTCATTCTTTGAATTTAAGATTAGAATCACTGAAACTTCTTCCCTCACTGCAGGAAAGGACAGTGACTGATAGCTGTGGTGTTCTAAGCCCAATAGGCCAATCTGAGCTTTTTCCAAACTCAGATGATTCACACAGAATAGAAAGAAATGTAATAATTTGTGCCCAAGCAAAGAAAACTCATGAGATCTTTTGTGTTTGCTATGATTTCTTCAGAAATCTGTGACTTAGAGAAGTCCAAATAACAAATATCCCCATTGGTGCTTTTAGATGGGAACTAAGGCAAAGCAGGGACATTTTAAACCAAACTGGTTTCCTCTTGCAAAGGAGCAATATTTTTTCAATTAATTATTTTATTTTTAAGACAAGGTATGAAGTTAATTCAAGTACTGTGATTATTTGTTTGGGAGAGAATGGTAATTTAGGAAAATAATATAATTTGTAGAAGGCAGAGAAAGATCTATGTAGATACAGCCAGGGAAGGGATATTATGTAGCCAAATAGTGTCTAAAAAATATTTTCTGAATTCAGTTAGTAACTGGATTAAATTGGAATTCATGTAGAACTACTATAAAATTTTGACAGCATTCTCACAGAAGAAAGCAAGGCTGATAAAACCCTTATCAAAAGAAAGAGTGTAGAAATAGCAATGGTAATTTGTCAAAATCTAAAGAAGGCAAAGGGCAAAACAAGCCAATGTACAAAAGTGAGCTATAAACAAGAGTTTAAGCAGAATTCTCTTTAATAATTTAAGGAGTCTGGTAATGAGGTGGTGAATTAATAGAAGCAATAGGAAAACAAAAAGCTATTTGGGACTGCAAGCAGTAAGATTGAGCAAGTACAAAATCAACTGAATAACAAAGTCAATATTCCTGTCATATCAGAGATCCAATTACACATTCAGCACAGTGCTTTGATTCTCAAAGGACAGGAAGGGAACTTCCCTCAGGCAAGCAGCAGGTTTTAAAGGAATTTTCAGTAAAGCTATAATATGGCAGAAAAAAACTAATATATGACTTGTTAGTGTATATTTCAAATGACTGACAACGGAGACTATCAAGCAGGGAAAAGATGTTTTTGAGTCCTACCTCTCACCACTAAAATCAATACTTGAGAAATACATTAAATAAAGAGGGGCATAGATTTTCTATTCTATCAATGCCTCCAGAAAAGAAAACTGACCTCACCTGTGAACTCTCCCTCTGAAAGATATAGAAATGGAGATTTAAGGTTTTCCTTTATTTCTTTGGTTGTTTAAATGAAGTGGAACCAAAATGCCATAGAATCATTAAACAAGTATTTGTAGATCTAATATATATTGTTTCTAGTACAATGTGAAAATATTTATCAGGGATACAATTCTCTTTTGAAGGAGACACATCAGAATCAGAACACAGCAGATAACAAGGACAAGGCTGTCACAGTCCATCAGTTACTCAGATCTACTGGACACAACAACTGACTGGAAAAATCTAGTCACACAAAATCCTGTACTTGTCCACATTCATTGAAACAATTCACAAACCCAGATATTTCAGGAACTGTAATCAAATGCTATTCTTTAAAAATAGTATTATACTTGAGAGATTTTTAAAAAATCTTTTAAAATACTTACATAAGGTGGCTTTATTCTCAGACATTCACTTAATTGAAACAAAATCAGTCTGTGAATAAATTCAGTTATCTGCCTGATAGTATTTTGCAAGGCAAAACATTTTACTACTACGCACACCTCATCAAAATACACAGTCAATTCCAGCAAAGTGGCAGCTTCATCTACGCCTGAAAAAGCAGAGCACACTTCTGAGAGCATAGACTTGATTTATTGGTGCAGTAAAATCAGATTTCTTCAAAAGTAGAGCTATTTTATAGAGCTTTATGAGAAGGGGTTCTTCTTTGTTTCTTTTGAATTATATACACATCCAACTAAACCAATAACATTAAATGCATTTTAGAAATCTAATAACTATTGCTTGTGAAAAATGCAAAAGCAGCTTCTCTTTTGATGGCAGCTGTAAACAGGTTTTTAAGAGAGAAGTAAAAAAATCAACTGCACTTGCACTTCAGAAAACACCCCAATTCTTATTTCCAATGGTCATTTCAACATACTGCAACTGCAACTTAAAAAATGAACTTTACAATGCAATGATTCAAAGAAATTAAAAGATACTCTCTGAGTATTTTCATTACAAGTACAGTTTCTTGCAATTTCACTTTAAAGTCTTTCATTCATATCAAATATCAACAAAATCTACTTGGGTATCACCACATTTAGGAAATTATTTGATTACTCACTGTGTCATATTTACTTGCATCATGTCTGTAATGTGCTTTTATGGAACAGATATAAGAAATAAGCTGTGTGGTTAAATGATGATTCTTGTGTAAGAAAATTCAATTATTTGCCTGCTTGTATCTGATATTACACCATTAATCTGCTCTTCAATGTCTGTGAGCAACTTCAGGGGGACTGAAGAACTTCCACTTAGCAATGTAGGACTGGCCTAACTACTGACCCAATGGACTTGAACATTCTAAACTGTGCCCTAAGATATCTGGAATATACAGATTTTTTATTTTTCCACTTAATGATTTTAGTGTCACTATTCCAGTACAAGACAGCTTTAAAAATAGTAGGCCCAAATACATTATGAAGAACACAACAGCATTCTGGGCATTTTTGAACCACCTCATGGCTCATTCTCTTTTCAGCTTAAGGCAAATTCAGGCCGAACACTAAAAGAAACTATAACTACTAAAAGAGGAGAGGGAAATAATGAAAGGAAAAATGTACAACTGAAAGAAGAAGCGTGCCAGAAAAGAAGCCCAGAGTCTTTGTTTCATTATGTCCCACCTCCTGTCTGCCCACTCTTTCATTTCCTTGCTGTATCTCGACTGTTCAGATGCATCAATGGGGAAAACTCTCAGCTTGCCAGGGCAGTAGTGTGGTGTTCAGAAGCCAGAGGTAGCTGTTACCCAACTAGCTTTAAATGATATCTAAAGACAAGGAAGTTGCTCTCCAACTCTATAATGGGTTTTTCAATTATTTTGTGAATATTAAAAAGGTATTAAACAAATTTTAATGGGCTGAACAAGCATAAGTTAGTTTGCAAGGAAGCAGGGTTGTGGGTGCAATTTTCCTAACTGAAGATTTTAGGGGATTCTTTTTCATGTTTAAATCACTGTCTTTGATTTTCACTTTCAGCATGTAAAAGCAGAAGCACTGTGTCCATGTGTTAATGATTATGTTCATCAGCACATCAACACAGCACAAATTTCTTAATGTAAAATTCAAAGCTCAACAGAACTGTGTTAATATACTACATATCTTAACACACAATTAAATCTACCAAACTCTACAGAAATGCAATTAGGTTATCTGGACAGGCTGGAGATCATACCTAGAAAAGCAGATGGTGAAACTGTGCCGTTGCTCCGTGACACCATGACACTGATCCCAGTCTCCACGAACGGCACCGAAAAGTCGACGACTTCCGAGCGCTCCTCGTTGATGGTGAGAGAGCCCACGGCCATCACTGCCCGGTGGTACACCACCTGGTCACAGGGACAACACACCACCAGACTCAGCACCTCCTTCCTCAGGAAGAACTCAACTCACAAGGATGCTGAGTTCTTACTGAGGAACTCTTTTACCTAAAAGAGAACTTACTTCACCAATCATTCCATTCCACACATTATTGACTTTTTTGCCATGCTTCCCATTTGTCACCAAGTACAGGTCATATGTGAACTTGACAGTTTTAGACAACTTCTTCAAGATATCGATGCAGAATCCTTTGCAGCACTTCTTTACGTTAGTTCCCTCATTAGTTTTGTTGCTGTCAAGAGAGAAGACACACATAAATATTCCTGCTGGGAAAAACAGAGGCAGCACAACAGCAAGATACAGCACACTGTGAAACAACATTTTGCCACTCTTGTGAATGACCATGTTTTTCTGAATCAAGGCAAAAATAACCCACAGGATGCTTTTAGAGCTATATGGAGTTTGCAGCTCCCGCTAATCATGACAGAGTTGCTTGGTGAGACACAGAAACAACATTACCTCACATGACATCCTTCCACTCCAGGACCCAGCCTCACGCATTGCACTGCTCCATCAAGACATTCAGCCTGCTTTTACTAATCTCTCTCTTAGGATTAGATTAAATTTTTATTACTTTTACTCTCAAGACATCAGACTACATGTCATTTAGTAATTAAAGAACATGTAAGCTATAAAAAGGCACAGCAGTTCACCGTGCTGGAAATGGATGCATCTTCTCAAAGTGCACCTTTCCCTGCACTTGGAGAAGGTGAACTTCAGGCCACCTTTAAGTGTGAGGATGCAAGTTTTCTCTTCATCGTTTTTTTCTGAAATGTTCACTTTGGGATCTCTAGAACCTTTTAGTATATACATCTTCAGAAGGCAAGGCACTATCTTACAGCCTTTGAAAAAATTCAAAATTAAAATAAAACTAGTCTAGAACTTAACTAAAAATAATTAATTTCTCTGGACTTCAGGATGAATATGCACAATCATTTAGCAGCCTCTGGAAATCTTCAGAAACATGCATCATATTCCCTCACACCTGCTCAGTAAAAATCCTGTTATATTCAGTTCATAAATACACAGATCAAGGCATAGTGGGTGAAACACGACTGACAAAGGTACAGTGGAAACTTTTCCCCTGATTTCTAATGACTGCTCCAATGTTATTATGGAGTACTGAAAGAAGGGGTCTTTGCTCTTGATGGTAAATCACAGTGGTATTTTATGCTGGAGTAGTTTATTCTATACCAAATTTCAGCATAAACTTACATTTTCATTAGGAGACATTTTCAAATTGTTACAGACTAATGAAAGCAGGCATATCTCAACATAACTGGAAACAATTCAAAAAGGACTCATTAAAACAGTCCCATTTTGGAACACAATCTTCTTCCATGTGACTGAAAAGGGCTGATTCTCATTGACTTTGAATTTACTATAAACTTACTGTCTTGTTAAGAACTCAATGTGACTTACACGTGTATAACCAGAAACTCTCAACTTTTTAAAAAGGAGGATGTGCAAAGAGCATACCATGTGGGAAAGGGAAAAAGAAAGAGGGAGGGAAGGAAGAATGAATGAATGAACAAACGAAATAATCAGTGAGAAAATAAAGGACTATATTTTGCAGTCAGAAAAGAAAAGGGAACACTGTGTATTTACTCACTTAAGTCTGACAAATTTCCGGCATGGCACGGTGTTTTTTTGGCAGCTTTCCATGAGAGGGTCCACATCCTCCACGATGACAAAGGGAGCCTCCTCCAGGGTGACAATGCTCAGGTGGTTGTCGTCGGGGTCGCTGTCTGCAAAGGAGCTGTACCTCGGCCACACTGAGTACTTGAGGCTCAGGGAGTTGTTCTCCCACTTCCCCACCTGAAAGGCCAAGACCACAGACTGCTGAGAGCTGCTTGGTGGTGGACAAAGGGGAGCCAATATCAAATGGGCTGGGACACAGGCACAGGGAATTACATGGCCATGACAGTTGGTTTGGGGCTTTGTTGTTAAAATTACTTTAAAATTTATTAGAAATTGCATGAAATGAGAAAATGCACAGTGGTAAAGACAAATAAGGTAACATTATTTTAATAAGTAACTGTTTATCATTTTAATAGGTAACTGTTTTATACAGACTGGATGTCATCAGATAACACCATCTATCAGTGCTATATGCACTGAAATTTGACATTTAGCATTTCTCTTTTAGCCAGAAGAGCAATCAGATAATCTATTTGTCATCAGGACCAATTTTAAGTAATAAAAAAATATTTTAAAAAAAGTCAACCAACCAAACAAACCTCAAACAACCCCCAAACAAAAACTCTAATACACACTCACATCTGTCCGATAACCAAAATATCACAATGTCATTTCTGTATCTTCCCAAAGAGAAGACTCTTCTATTTTTATACATTGAAAAGCCATTGTAAAAGCCTTTACCCAGGCTTCCACTGAAGCCAGAGCAAACCATCTTTTTAGTAAGAATTTCCATTAGAAAAATTTCTCATAACTATTTTATTCCGCCAACTGTTGGGTACTTTTAAGAAAGCAAACCCCACTACACATAAAAATTTCCAGCTTATTTACTATTATAAAATATCCCTTCTAAATTGATCCACATATCTTTCCATTTCCAGATCACCAGGAGGAGTTTTATGATTTCAATATATTTGAGTCTAGTGTTTTTCTCCTCAGATTGTTTAAATACTTTCTATCCAGAAATCTAATTACATGTTTTATCTGATGACAGATAATATAAATGAGCTAGGAATCCACATAATTTATAACCTAATGCATTTTAATAATTATTGAGTTGCTTAAGCTAAACAAATTACAACATAACCATAGTACTGTTAAAATATTTCTTTCACAAGGAAAATGGTGAGAATGAACAGTACAATAAGAGACTCAGGCCCTTAAATTTTTTTTTTTAATTGTTACCTACGTTCTGTCTTCTAAAAACTTGAAAGTTAATAACAAAAATTCCCAAAGAGCATGATTTACATCCATTCCTATTTAGGGAAGCCTATCAGCACATGACCTTTCCAGATTTCTTTCCATCCTGTTTATAAGTCAAGATGTTTTACTGAACTTTAATGTAGGAGGCAGAAATGTCAAATCTCTACTCACTTAAATTAGGAAATTCAAAGTATCTCAAGGAATTCTCACTTAAATCAATGGGAATTTTATCTATTATTACTGTGTAAATATATTTCTAGTATGAAATTTAACCAAAACACAGTGGACAAAGCCTTTAGGAGAAAAGCTAGCTCAGCCACAGGGGACCAATCTATTGCTTCTATAAATAAAGCAGTTTAATTGCCGAGGTGTGGTGCGTAGTGGCAGTGACAGCAGCGTGTGCTGGCTTGTGTGAGCTTACAGGGTGTCGTCACAGCCCCGAGTACAACATGGAAGAGGCCATCTGGAATGGGGAGGATTCCAGCCAGCCCAGGACCTCAGACAAACAGCAAATGTGCCAAGGGATACGAGGGATTTCAGAAGTGGAAAATGTGCCCGACCGTCTGCCTGTTGCGATCATCAGGAAGGAAATGTGATGGCATTTGTGTGGTCAGGAGTGCAGCAGATCCCAAACCACTTGGGCGGGATGCTGGGAGGAGGCAGATCCTGACCCCGAGGCACATCCCTCTGCCAGCCACCCCTGGCATCTGCCCCCCTGTCACAGGGAGCACCTGGAACCACCCCAGCGAGGTCACCTGGTCCTATCAAGAACACAAGATTGCTTTGGTGCTATTAACAGAAGAACAACACCAAAGTTGATGATATTCTGATATCATCATTTCTGATATTCTTTCTACTTCAGTGGGAGCAGCTCCATTTTACTGTTCTGAGGAGGATATAACCAGACACATTTAAATAACTGGATCTGGGGAAATGATAATTTCTTTTGAGTTGCATCTATGAAACTGCTGTGTTGAGGTAATAAACACAGTAGTATGTATTTTTAAATCAAATATTTTTTGAAAAGAAAATTCAAGCTGTGGGTAAGACACTAAAAATGAAGACATGTTTCATTACAGAACTGTCAAAAAGTGCATGCATATACATTTACTGTACTATATACAAATTACATAAAATATCCAGAGACTTCAGAAAAATTTCTTTCATTCCTAGTTATATTGATAATAAATATGGGTTTGATCCCAGAGAAATACAGAAGTTGGCCTTCACTTGAAAAAGGGGGCAATAGAAACATTTCTAGGACAGATTGTGTCCCAAACCATAGAAATCTTAATTTAAAGCCAAAATAATTGAAATTACGTAAAAAATGTTATTTCAACAGCATATCAAACTGTTGATTCACTATGATTGGTGCAAAACTCATCTTCCAGTAAAGATATGCAATGGTACATATAACCATTGTATTTCTTTTGAACTTGCACATTCTTTCCTATTTTCTCCCACTTCACATGCAGTCTGGAATATTCCCTTTGATTCAATCTCTACAGGATGCAGGAAGGGAAGGGGAAAATAGCTGAGAGCAGGGAAGAGCTTTTTTGAAGTCAGGCTGAGTTAGCAGTCACAGGGTGCTCATCTCATCCCAAGCACTGTTGCCTAAAGCTCCCCACATCTGACTCTGCACATGTGCTTTGACCACTTCATCCAAGCCTCGTTCTCTTTGCAGCCAAGGAGAGTGATAATGAAGGATTTGGTGTGATAATGAAGGATTTGGTGAGTTCCTGTGTGGCAGCCAAAGGCAGACAGAGCCCTGCACACATTGCTGTACCTCAGAGTCCCCGTCCCGCTGCATCCCAAAGTCTCTGAACAATGTAAGGATGATTGGCCCAGTCCTGCTCACACCCTCTCAGAGGCCATTGAACCAGAGAAAAAGAGCAAGGCCAGATCCTGAGCAGATCTTCCCTGTGTGCCAGTGTTGGCACAAAAAGAGTCTGTCACGCTGGCACGTCTCACCAAAAACAAACCAATACCTCAGTCCTGTCACCCTTGTCCCAGCAGATGGGAACTGTACACAGCACACACCCATCATCCTCCTATAAGAAAAAATGTTACATGACAACAACGATACTAAATGCACTCCTAGGACCAGCCAGCCAAATCTTTCAAAAGAGAAAGATTTTCAGGGATGTTCCTTTTACATTTAACGCACATACATTGCAAAACATACTTTTTGAGCTGTCCCAGTTAAAAAAATAGTGCTGAGCAAATACAAAATCTAGCCCATCTTGCTTTATTGAAAAACTATTTACTACTATTTTTTCATTACACTTTCCCACTTAAAAGGAAGAGCTACTATGGCAAGTTTTAAATCAATAACTAAAATCTATAATAGAGTTTTTCAGGTTAGCAATAACAGCTGCAGAGCAAAGCACAAGAGCAAAACCCTTCCTCCAGACACAGCACCTGCTCTACACCTGCTCCTGCAAGCCTTCGTGTTTTGAAGGCCCATATTTCACTATGGCACTCTAAATTTAAATGACAAAATATGATGTGAGCATTTTCATGTCTTAATAATAAATTAATAATAAATTAATAATAAAAAGTCTTTTACAGTTCTGAATACATCCATTTAAAGACTTTGAAGTTTCCAAAATTTGCTGCAAAATCTCATATGGGGAATGCAAATGTCCTGGTCTTCCCTCATGGCTGCTGCTGACACCACCAGGAAGGCACCAGTCCTGTGACCAGCAGGGCTCCAAGGAAAACACAGCACCCAGAGAGATTTCAAACAAACAGGAGGAGAAAGAAAAGTCACCACCTCCTGCAGCTTCGTTTTTCAATACAGAATTATTAATTGGCACTCACCAAATCCTCAGTGAGCTGGTACAGTTTTGGTTCTGGGCAATGTCTCAGGTAACTCTGTGCAGTGCCAGAGTTCAGACTCATACCAGAAAAGCCATTTTAAGAGTTGATTACATCGCTAAACAAATTGATGGCTCCTTCTTCCACCTCCCAGTGGGTGAAGATTTTTTTGTCACCTCTGTGCTCAGTGAAGACCTTACAGCTCTCCAGAAATGCCCAGACAGACATACCTTTATCTTCAGAGATCATCTGCCCTGAAAGCCTTCCTGTTCCCTAATGTATAGGTGTAAAGAACAGGGGCAAAACACACCACCTTTGCTTTCCATGGGAGTTAAAATTCCTTTACAGCAGCAAAGAGGTGGGATCCTCCTTGGGAATACATGATTTAAGAAATGCTGCATAACGGTGCAATTCAAACAATTCAGCAGAGTAAGGTCAAAGGAAAGGCCTTTAGGCTAGGCAAAAGCTCACTGATACAGAAACAATATGCAATTTTCAGCTGACAGTAAGTGTCAGGATGGGCATATTTACAGGAAGACTAAATACACAAAACAACAAGGATGGAATACAGGGAATGACAACCCAGCAGATGTTAAAGAGCACGCTGCTGCTTCTGCTATAGGCAAAAAGAATATATCACATTACAGCACAGTGCTACTGACAAAAGATACCCCAGCAAACAGATTATTAGCTCAGGCAATTTCATCTGTTCTAGTTAAAATATCTGCATTTCCCCACAAGTGTAGGGAATGCCTATCATTGAGACACAAGGATCCCTCTGCTGCCATGACCCTTGCTGAAATCAATCGAGATTTCACAAGAAATTACCATGGAGCACCTCTCATTCCCGCAGAACTCTGATAAAAAGCTCTGTCAGAAATCTGCCTGAGCGTTGGGTTTCTCAGCTCCTGCCCAGTGAAGTCAGCTCCACAGTCAGCTACAGGAGCTGCCTGTTCTGGGCTACGTGACGGAGGATGTTGGTAGCCAGATGGAGCTCTCCGTGAGACCTTGGTTCATTTATTCCAGGCAGGAACCCCGCACCCTCTGCCCACTCCTTCCTACTTAGATACAAATGTGTACAACCCCACTCAGAGCTTGTAAACCTGGCACATGCTACTTAATCAGAGAAAAATCAAGTTCTGCATTAAATCCTGCATTACTAGAAAGTTAAAGATGACAGGCTCTGTTTAGAATAAACCTGGATGTAAAGTAACACTTCTTGCAGTGGTATTTCATTAGCAATTGTGCCATATAGTACACAAATTTACCCAGAATGCAGACCACCATTATAATTTTATAAATTCACCCAGAATGCAGATCACCATTATAATTTTATCTGTATCTACCTGGAGCATCAGTAAAAATTTGTTTTACCCTGGTACATATCTTTACACATGGAACACACTCAACTATAAATACATTCTTCCCCACCTCACTTAAAATATGTGATACACACTGCCTACTTTTGCCATTGCTAATCATATTCTAGTATATCATTTTAATATTGGATTGATTTGGTTTCTATCCACATTTAAAAATATATTAAAAAAGAAGAAAAAAGAAAAAATCCAGACTAGCAGACTGAAGTTGGCAGCTCTGTGAAGTTGATGGGCCAGGTGAGACACAAGGTCCCAGCTCTCTAAGTAACATGAACAGGGGAGCTGCAGCTGGGGCTGCTGAATCTCTGAGGGTTGCTGAGCAGTAGCACAGTGATCCTGCAGCGCTTTGGTGATATTTGTGCAACGTTGCTAACTCTGGTAAATTTTATCAAGTTTCACTTTAACAAGTACATTAAGCTTGTCTTCTTAAAAGTCTCTTGCCTGAGAACAGCATCCCCTTTGCCTGTCAAGATCAGCAGCAAGAATATGAATTTTGGTGTCAAAAGTTTGAGTAGCTGCTTTAGGATCTGTCAAAATATCTTGCTGGATGCCTGTGAAACATGCCCAAAAAGTGATTTTCAGTCTTCAAACTATTATAATTCAAACGGCTTTCTGCAGCATCTGATATGGGACAAATCCCTCAGTCATCCCCACTTCCATGTGAAGTTGCCATCTCAAAGTTTCAATACTGAGTCACTTGTAAAGAAAAAAATAACTTCTTTTCTGAGGGGTGAGATAAATACTCTCCAGCTATGGTTGAACAGCTTCTCCATAACCTTAAGCTTTAAGTGAAGTATATCAATTCTGAAACCAAGGAAAAATTGTATTTGAATAAAAGCATATTAAAACCAAAGAAAAATTGGTCTTAATAACAAATCTTAAATGTTTAGGAGAATACCAGGTAAAAAATTCTTCATCTAAAACACAATTACTCTTTCTACATAAATAATAAATTAGCTACTTGCAGTATGTACATTATTTACATTATGAGGATTTACAGGCTGTTGCATTGTCATTTTTTCATGAGTAAATTATTTAATTAGATATTAAGACTTGATTTTTCCATATAGGATTGAGGATATTTAATAAGACTTCAATAAAACCATTCTGTGATCTTCCCTGCTACACTGTAAGAGAAAGGAGAAGCACATGCGTGTCTGGAAACTCAGAGCAGCAAATGTTAGATCTCAGATGAGTAACTTTGACAGTTTTGAAATTGAGCAAAACAGCTCAAGGAGAAAGGAACAAGAGGAAAGAAATTGCCTAAGAGATAGGGGTGAAACCTGCAACTTGGAGAGAACATTGAGACAACACCAGAGAGCTGTTCAAATAAACCATGTGGAAGAGAAGGTCCTTCTCAATCTCCCACTCAACAGAGCTGAAGTGCACAGTGACACTGCTGAAAAGCTGGGGGGTGTGCCAGACAGCCCAGAGCTACGTCCAGCTTGCCAGGATAATTGATTAGTCAGCTTATTTGTCCTCACCCCCAGAGGCAGGATCAGCCTGTGGTCAGGAGAATAAGTCTGGTGGTGACAGAGCGTTCTTGGCCACCTTTCACGTCTCCCCTCTGACATAATTCCTAATTAAACCTGGCCCCTTCCACAGCAGCAGCCAGAGCTGCCCTGCCCTCAGCAGCAGGGCTCCAAAGCAGGGCCGCACACCATCACGTCCATCCCTTTCTGTTCCTCCTCCCAGGAGCCCCTCAAACCTGACAGTGAGCAGGAAGGGATTTTCCAGCTGGAAAACTGCACAGAAACCAGGGACCAGGCTCCAGGAGCCCTGAGCCCCGCGCTGCAGGAGGAGCAGCGCTGCTGCCCGGCAGCCACGGGCAGACCCAGCACAGCCCCACAGCCTCACCTCCGACAGCGACCCGCTGCGAGGCCAAAACAGGCTCCAGTTATTTCTTGGAAATCATGTTGGTTCATATATCCAGTCTTTCTCTGCGGCTGTTAGATTATTTTTCCAAAAAAATCAAACCCATCTCTCCTTGTCCTTTGAATGGTCTCTTTAGAGAAGTTTCAAGGTACAAAATGTATGAAATTATTTTAACATAAGCATTGTTGGCTGACTCTTTGAGCATTTTCTTCCTTTGGCATCTCATGCTAATAATATTCCCCAAGCAGTATAATATTTTTCCAGAACATTATATATGATATGCAGACTGTTGAAGAATTTTCAAATAGGGTAAGAAATTTTCATAACAGCTAGTGAGCAAATGATTCCTCCAAAGATTCAGATTGACACATTTGGAGAGGATTAAATTTATCCAGAGAATTAAATTTGCATCAAATGAACATAAAGAAATACACAGCATAATCTAGGACTACTCTCTGTTTCTGCATGACTAGCATATTTATTGAGATGTCCTTCAGTAATTCTGATTTTGTCATTATTATTCATCATCATGAAGAGTCTTGTAGTCTTATAAACTGGAGTTTTAAGTTGATTTAATGGGTTTTTAAAACTATAACAAAAAAATTCATAAATTTCAGCAGAAATTTAGATAATGCAGAGTCACGTTTCATGAATTTAAAATAAAACTGGTGGATGATTTAAATGTATGCTTTCCTAAAGTCTTATATTAAAAATAGTTTCTTAAAACAAGTTTTTAAACCTCGTGACATAGACTGCAAACTCAGAGCCATAACAATCACAGGCTGAGACTGAAGTTTAGGTGAAATTATGCTTGTGATAAACTTTTTCATTTATTATTTGCATATATGATTAACATTGATGTTATAACATTTTTCCTTCTAGTCTATATAAAACTTTATATGGAGATCACTTGTCTACCTGGACTAGTCAAGATTCTGAATTTTTTTAGGCAAATATTGACAGGATTATTCTCCAATGCAACAGAACTTCACAGTTGTTTTTTTTTAAAGTGTGCTTTTACTATAAAATCTGTCCAAAAAAAAAAAAAAAAAAAAAAAAAAAAAAAAAAAAAAAAAACAAAAAAACAAAAAAAAAAAAAACCCCAAAAAAAAAATTAAAAAAAAAAAAAAAAAAAAAACCAAAATCAAGCAAATAAAAGGAATGAAATAGTCAAGATATAAAAATCCATCCAAATTCAAGTAGCTGAGGACCAAACTTTTGGACATTTTTCAGTTACCCATTTTGCTTTACTAAATTTTAAGAACTGGAAATGCAAGGTGCGTTTCACAGAAACCTGAACTCCACGTGGCTTTTCTTCACTGATCTTTTAAAACTCCTCAGACACGCTCAGGATGGTGTACAGTGGTCTCTCCCGAGTGCTGAGGCAGCTGCTGCAGCAGCACCAGTGGGTGACACGCGTGCAGCCCAGCCCCGGAGCAGCGCTCACCTTCTCCCACTCCCGCTCGTTGTTCAGCACGATCACCACCAGCCTGGGGTGGGCCTGGTAACCATCTGCTGTGAAGGACAAATCTCTGCCTTCCCACGTCACGTTCATCATAAACCTGGAAGGCAAGCAAGAAAAGTTCATTGAAAAATTAATGGGCTGTCCAGCAGTTAATGAGCAGCAAGGGCAGCCAGCAGCAGCACTGATGAGACCCGTGCACCAGTGCTGTGGGAAGCCTCTGCTGGCAGTGTGGGGGCTCGGGGCATTTCAAAGCAGTTCACAGCTCAAGACAAAGCAAAATATTGTTAGTGTATTAATTATAATGCAGACATCATTTTTAACAGCTTACATGTTATATATGATTAATCTCTCCCCTCCCTGAATAATCTTTCTGGCACTTTGCACAACCTCACCAGCTTTTCAGGAGCATTTTAAACAAACCCACATCACCTCTGTGTGTGACACTGTACTATTGTGTCACTGTGTAGTACTCAGAGCAAAGTGCATCTGATCTGTCTTCCCCTGTTCAGACCTCCAGGAGTCCTGTCAGCCCTTCCCAAAACTGTAACTACATACAGTGTTGTTGTGCCACGAGGATAAATTCCATTAATGCCAAAACCAGACTTGAAAGTCTTGGAGGTGTTGGTAAATATTCAGTTCAGTAATTTCAAAAGAAAAAGGCTTTATGTTTTCATTCTTTTGCATTTAGCTTAATTTTCAACAGTTTTCAAAAGACTTATGAATTTATTAGTATTTCGAATAGGAAAACAAATCCAGAGGGATACAAAATAAAATTAAAAGAATGAAAAATTTTAAAATGTTGTTGAAAAAAAACAAAACTCCACACTGTTAGTGTAAAGCTGACAGGGCTATCCCACAGTAAGAAGTAAAACTGCAATTCCAAATCTTGGGAAGGCGATAATACGTCTCCCAGCCCATCTCTGTGGTCTGAAGTTATTCACATTGAATTGCTCTGAATTCTCAGTGCATTTAACTGAAAGAAATTCAGCCCAAGACTGATGCAGACAGAAATGCAGATGTCCATCCTATAGAGAGATGTGTTCTGAAGGGCAGAAATTCACTGTTCTTCATACATTACCTCTAGTGTTTTACCCACAAGACACCAATACTGTTTTATATGTTTGTATGGGTTTGAGGAGATTTTTGGGTTAGCTGTTTGTCTGTTATGGCTGGCTTTTTTAGCAGTAGTGGCAGCATAATCTCCTGGCGAACGTGACACAGACAAAATTCCTTAGCTCCAGATTCAAAGGAGAAGGCTTTTGTATTAACATAGTTGCCTGAAAATGCCAGTAGCAGAAGCACACTAAATAAACATATATAGACCCAGAAGAAATAATGGCATTGTATCATAAAAGTTAATAAATAAATGTGCACCTGAACAGCCATATTAACATCATTCAGCATCAGTTTGACAAATTCAGTCATTGTAATAACTCACATTTCATTACAGGCTTCCAGTGTCAAAATTTTCCCCTTGACAGAACTTTGCTGCCCAGTTGAACTAATTTCCTGTATATTTTATTTTTCATCCAACAGGGAAAGATCTTGCTTGGGAACAAAAAGCTTGTCTGCCACCTTGAGAGGCAGCAAACACCAAATAGGATTTACTTGTGCACACATGTAGGGAACCAGCATAACCTTCACTGTGACCCAGGGAGTGAAATGCCCAGGAAGTGAGCACAAGAGGAAATCGAGGATGTGCTGTGAAAATGGGCAATACTTGCATTTTGCATTTCTGCCCCCTGTCCCAACTCACACCCATGAGGTAATGCCCCCCACAATGAACACTTCACCTGGTAAGGCCAGGCAGAAACCCCCTCATTGCACTGGAGCTGAAAGCCAAGCCTTGTGTCCCCTCCTAAGGCTGGAGCCAAACACACCCTGCACCCCATCTGGCTTTTGACCTCACCTGGGTTTTTAACCATTCAGAAAATGGTGACCGGGTTGGAGGATAAACCTTCCTCAGCAGGATCACCACCCCTCATTTCAAACACTACTCATCACATTTTGGGATTATATGCTAATGTCCTAGTCTGGAAGATAGTCAAGGGCCATCACAAGATGCAGTGCTGAAGCTCAAATGTTCCAAAAAGACTACCAAAAAGACCACACCTCTAAAGTGAAAAAGTGAGCTCAGTGTATATTTTAAATCATGAGCATTTTCCAGCCATTAAGTAAAGGAACACATTTTGCAAGGTTTTGGGATTTTTTTTTTTTAATTCCCTAATCTGAAAAGTCTCTTAGAAGTGTATTCTCTGATCCTGATACAAAGGTATCCATGAGCGACGCACTCTGAGCTACCCCAGATTCTCACACTGCAGCAATAAAAAAGAACTTCAAAGAGATTCTTGTTTCCCCAAGCACACTCTTCTGTACAAAATTCATCAGCTGCCGTGTTCTCCAGAAATCAATGCCTACAACCTACACTCACTTTTGAATTGTTTTTTTTCCTCTGCAAAGGACAGAAGTCCTGCTCTGCTTTTACTGGCCACGATCCCAAACTGCTTGTCCTACAAAGAAATGCCCAGTGCTTGTCTGCTCCTAGTTAGGAATAATGCTGTGAAGAATTTATATTATGTTACTCTTCTAGTGTTTTAAGTTTATCCAAGGTTAATTCAGTGCAAGAGGTCTTTGGCTTCTGAATTGGATAAAATATATTTCTGAAGTAGCTTTGGAAATGCAAATTCCTGTTCTTAACTAAATTAGGTGTTTAGTTATTTGAACTCATTACTTTGATGGGGCAATTAGCAACATACCTTGGATTTGTAGTTAATCTGTTTTCATTCCTCATTAAAGCTACAACCTTTGCACAGACACGCTAGCACAAGGCCTTGTGATGGTATTATGACACTGAAGTCTTAATTAACTTTTGCAAACTGAAATTTGTAAGATTCCCCAGGTGATACATACATCAACATGGCACTTTTTTTCTGACAGAAGTTAAGCTAATATCACATTGAATACAAAATAGGGTTTTTATCATGCAAAGAACCTTAACTATGTATTTAAAAATACTTTTAAACATTTATACAATTTGTTTTTGCTTGCCACCTTGGAAGTGGTGGAACATCACAGCAGAACATTTTTGCTGTCATATTCACAGCAAGCCTTTGAAGCTAAACTAACTTCTCTGAAGGTTTCCAACTTTATTTTTATAAAGCCTCAGAAAGTTCAAGTAGTTCACATGTATCTTCAGATTAATGCCAGAACTGCAATATTTATCCCTGTCAAAATCCTAACTTTACCCAGAAAGCCAGAACATACTAAAAAAGCTGGGGTTTCTTACCCTGTAACTACAGTATCACAACTTCATTGATTCTAATTCAATTAACAAGTGAGTGAAGACTTTGCCAAAGGGATCAGAGCTCAGTTTTCAGAGCACATTTGCTTGGATAAAATTTTGCTGATCTTTCTGGCCAGACTCCTTACAGGAGACGTGGACTTCCTCGGCCATGAGGTGTTTGTTAAGGATTTCCTATACTGGATAAGAATAGTTGAAATCCCAGAGCAGAATCTTTGAGGTTTTCTACTTCTATGGTATAAAAAGCAAACATGTTTGTAGGCTGTGGCATTTCTTTGAGGTTTACTATATATATGTCTATGCAAGAAATACAAGTGTTCTCCTAATAGATCCAAGAATTTGAGAGCAAAACCAAGAAGGGTTAGTGGATTCTGTGTTGGGCATTACTTTAAGGAAAAAAACCCATAACTTTATGTAAATTATTAAGGTCACTGTGTTCCAAAAAAAGATCAGCCCTAGCCCTGGCTTCAAAAACTTCTCAGGGTGACCTGAGAAAGCCAAAAAGGGCAGAATGGAAGCACAGCAGAGCAATCCCATGAAACAGAAGCAAGGGTGATGCCACCCTTGGAGCCTCAGCACCCTCCACGTGCTCTGTCTGGGATGCCAGGGAGGAGCATCCTCAGCATGGACCCTCTCCTGCCCACCCACTTGTGTCCCACAAGAGAATCCAGGACTGGTCAGGCTCAGGAACACAATCAGCTCTGCAGTAACAGGCTTGTTTATAATTAGTGTGAAATTCACCTAGAATGCAGCTCCCAAACACACCAGCAGCTGGGAAAAATAGAATGGGTAGGGCAGAGGCATTAATGAAAATGTGTCACTTCTAAGCTTCCTTCTAAGGAAAGAACTTAGTCCCTAGACCTGTAAAACAAAGCACAGGGCCTGAGAGCTGCAGGGAGCAGAAGGACCAGGGGTCTCCTCTCTGCTATGAGTTCAGACCTACATTTGCTGCCCTCAATGAGATAATCAAACTTGATAAACTCCCCAGGTGCCATCATCAGGGATTATCATTTTTTATTTAGTGTCTTCTTCACCATGGGGCAGTGTTTCAAACATCAGAGAGCTGCAGGCAATGAAGAGAAGCAGCAGAGACTTGGGGAAATACATGTTGCATAAGAGAAACTCTCCCTCTTGTCTCTCAAAGAAGGGATTTCCAAACTGAGATTTAAAGCAGATGAAATGCCTCAAAACGAATATGTTATCTGGCAATATTTCTTTTTCCTACAAATAGTGTAAACCCAACCATTTTAATAACCTAGACAGCCAGCCTATCTAGGCTTGACATTCACTCAGCTTCATACCTAAAAAGCAGGAGTGAATCCAAATTTTGTATTTTCTTCTCTATCTTGTTGGTGCTCTGAACTGCTGAACTTCCTTGCTATGATTCAACCGTGACATTTGAATGATACTTATCAGTAGAAACTCCCAAGACACATTATTTATCATTAAGAAACAGATTTCCTCTGTAAAATTAAATCAAAAAATGCTTAATGTAGAACATATAATGTGTGAAGTACATCTTGAAATCTGCAATAGAACCCTATTAAACAAGGTACTGATGCATTTTTTAAAGTCAATTATATATATTATGCTTTGTAGGATTTTTTTTTTTTCCTAAATTCAAATCCTTTGCAGTGATGCAGAGTCACTTCTTCCTTTTTGTGCATCCTCCTCCTCCTCCCACTCCCAGCCCTTGCTCCTGCACAGGGTCCCTTGCTTTGGAGCTGTGTCTCCCTAGGCCTGGAGCCAGCAGGATGAGTAAAACTTTGGGAGGGATCTGCTCGGTGACTGTGCAAAAGGAACTGCATGCCAGCTTCTGGGACCTCCTGCCAGCTGCTCCTTAAAGCATTCACTGCCTCTGGCTCTGGAAAAGTCATCTTGCCTCAGCTCTGCAAACTTCAAAATTCTTGGGGAACCCTTCTAAGAGGGAGGCAAAGGGAGGGAGCAAAGTTAGAAAGAGCCCAACTCCCTGGGATGTGCCACAGATGAACACCAGAATGTTCAGCAAGTTAATGCTATTATTAGCATCAGCATTTCAAAAACAGCCCTAATTTGATCACATATTGCTGCACCACCTCAGAAGCATCCCAAACTCTTCCCCATGATATGTGCCTGGCTTCCTCAAGGGGGATGGTGCCTGCAGCAGCTCCATCTCCAAGAACCTTCACTGATATGTGGATGTTGAGCCCTGCTTTCAGCCCTGACAGCAGGCTCCACTCCCCTGCCAGAGGCCATGCTTGTTCTCTTGTTTTAAATTATTTTAATTATCATAATAACAAGGTAATGTTTTAATCCACTAACTGTTTGGTACTTTCTGTTTCCTAAACTGATCAAATCTGGGAGGAAATTCTCATACAGATTTTCAATAGTTTCTTGAATCACTTTGTTAATAAACCAGCACCATGCTGGGGTCTCTGGGGCAGAGTGTTCCCCTGCACAACCCTCCTGTGTTCCCTGTGAAGTTTAGTTTTACTTTGGACTCATATATAATTAGTTAAATATCTATATACCTTCATCCAATAAAGAAGATGATACCTATTGTTCCCAAGTCTTCAGACTCAAATTAACAAATCCTCTATAAATTGGCAGTTGATGTGTAAGTGGGAAAATATTAAACAGATTTGCTGGATTATTCATCAAACCATTGTGTCCCTTTAATCCCAGATTTCGCTCAAAAGAGGTGAATTTATCTGCCATGATGGAAGCTGGAATCAAAATATTGAAGTTGGTGAATGACTATCAGGACAAGGGGTACAGCAAACCTCTCCCTCTGAGGGAGGTGCTGTGCTGGAGGGTAACAGCAGCACAACAGCAAGGACAACTAAGCTTTTTCCCTGGTCCTGTGGACTGCCCATTGCTCCTGCTCCTGGTTCAGTGATGACAAATAAAGGAAATTGTGCTTGGGAAGGGTAGGATACCTTCTGGTACACCTTCACTGAGGAAGGATGGGTCTGTCAATCCTGCCTATAGCTGGGCTGTATTTCAGAACAGAATCTCACCAAATACCAGCACCACATGACAAACACCTGACTACCTATGGACAGACACATCTTTTTGGTTTTTGAATAATGGCAACGGCTTTACCATCCTCACCCATCCCTGTAAGGATCAGTGTGGTTGGAAATGCTGCAGTGAAATGTCTCTCCCAAGGTCAGGACTTTCATACACACCATGGGTACTCTTGTAAACAAAGCAGCACCATTCCAATGCACAAAGCAACAGCATGTTCCATGACTGGCAGGGTTATTGTGTTTCCCTATTTGTTTGCTTCTGTGTTTTCCTTTTTTCAGAGAGAACAAGAGTTTGTTCAACTGACTTGGCATTAATGAGGTGCTAATTCTATTTATCCTGCTGTGCCAGTATTTCACACAATAGTGGTTTTCTGCCTTGGGAGATCTGGGTCTTACACAGATAGAAAAAGATTATCTGAATCAATACAGATACAAATATATATATATATATCTGTGTTTTTAATGCATTGAAAATGAGCCCCGTATTTTATTATAAATCCTTTATTCACAGGGAAACACTGGCTTTCCCATGTGTACCAGAAATGAGCATTGATTAGATCAGTCCAAAAACTAATGCAAACCTGATTTTCTTCTGGGTCTAGGAAGCCAATAAAAGCATCTTAGAATTGCAGTGATGGGAGAAAGACAAATTGTGTGTTTCAAAACAAATATATCTTCAAACCTATTTAATACTCAAAGGATTTGAAAAAGAGGGAGGAGGAGCTTTTACTTCGCTGCTTTCTTTACATATAATTTCTTTACAAACAGATTGCTATCTAGATGTGGGAACTCATACATAAAGCATTACCAACTTCCATTTACAAGCAAATTAGCTATTATAGCATAGCCTCAGAATACTATCCTGGGTTTAAAGCTGAATTAGACTGTCATTACAATAGATGCAGCCTAAAAATCCTGGGGTTTTTCTCTATTTTGAGCTTTGTTTTGCTCAGGCATCCCCTTCCACAGCTACATCCCTGACTTCCAGTGAGTTCTCTGCTTCTGAGTTTGCAGCAGTGTCCTCTTGTTCAACCCTGCTCCTCCAGCACTGATTCCCAGATGGACAGGGGGGTAGAGCACAGCAGATCCCGGGTCCATAAGCTATTTACAGTTACTTTAGCCCTTTTCACTGGGAACATGCTTCAAAATCCTTTCTTCAGGTTAGTTTCTTAATACAGCACATATATATTCTATCTTGTAGTTTAGAGATTGTAACTGCACTATCTGGGGCCTGAAACTGTGAAGATTCCACTTCACAATAGAACCCCGATTAGGGCACTGATTATTTCATGTAAAGTAGAAAAGTAAAATTTAGTGATGAGGATGAGAAAGTCCTGTGAATTAATGTAATTCACCTTGACATGGAGAGACTGGTCAGCTCCCCAAGATTACTTAGTACTGGTAAATGCTTGTATATACTTGCCTTGCTAGCAGATTATATGTGACAGGAATAGTCTTGGGGAGTTATTACATAAGAAAGACTATTTAAATTTTATTCATTTTAGTATAATTCTGACATTTTTAAGTTAAAATCAGCCTGCTTCTTGTTCTTGTGGTGTTGGAGAAGCTCAAAGAATCTCCAGTACAGAAAAGGTATTTTTACTTTATAGCTCAGTGTTTCACATCAGGGAGTGACTTTTTTAATGACAGTGCACTACAGCTTCTCCTATTAGTAATTCCTGGGTGCATCATGCACTGCATGCTGCAGAATCTCCTGGTGAAGTCTAATCTCACTACCCTAGCACTCACAAGCCCTGTTCTTGTACTCATGCAGATTTAATGAGAAAATAAAGATTATTTAGAGAAATACAGCTTATGCTGAGTACAGAATACTTAATTCAAGTCTACACTAGTGTGTTAGCCAAACAATAGGATAGGAGCCTTTTTCAAAACAGGTTCAAGTTTTTGTGCCTCTTCTAAGAGTATTTTAAACCCCAACACTTACAACAGAATACAACTTAACTTTCACAGAAACTGGAGTTCAATTATTAATAGTGGACTGCTTCCTTTGTAGGTCAGGTCCTGCTGTTAAGGCACAGAATTTGGCTAGCAGGATGCTTGCACTGCTCCCTGGCACTGTCATCACAGGCATTAAGAAGCAGCACGGGGGTGCCATGGGTGGGACAGTGCCCCCAGCAGTGCCTCCCCCTGCTCTGCCCTGGCACAGGGACACACCACGGCTGTCCAGAGCCACGCAGCCACTCACAGGGCAAATGTGCCCTATTTGTTACTTACAGAGTCATTTAAGAAATTACTGAAAATCTGTATTAGAATTTTCTCCCAGGTTTGGTCAGCTTAGGAAGCAGAAAGTACCAAACAGTTAGTGGATTAGAGTATTACCTTGTTATTTTGGTAATTAAAATAATTAGGAAAAGAATCATGGGGTTTCTGCAATGTCTCCAGGGAACTTGTAGTTTTAGAGGCAAAGGTTCAAAAATAGGAAAGGAAGCACAAAAAAAACAGCAACCATACTAAAGGCAAGTTCTCACTAAGGAAATGTTAAAATTGATTTACTCAGTTGCATTTGGCTTTTAAGAAAGCTTCTGAACAATGCTGTGTGCAAAGATGCTGTTTTCATGGAAAACAACTGTTCTAGGACATCGTGTGGTAATCAACTCCTAATCTAAATATGCACATACATCTCAAGATTAAAACTGTTCCAAAATCTTCTTTTTGAAATCAGCATCAACTTTCCTTCCTGTGCCTTCTTTTTTGTAGAAAGCACTTCATCTGCACTATTTGGTTAGAGCAAAGATCATAAATATTTCTTAGTAGCTTCCATATTGTCACGAGAAATTAAAAAATGTGCAAAATACCCTACTTCCTTTTACAGACCAGATAAAGAAATATATTACCATGTAACATTTTGGATAGAAGTAATCAGAATCACCATGTCTAAAAGGGATAATGAAAAGGAAAATAGTAATAACAAAAACAGAATCCTGATTTAAAGCCTGGCAGTTCATCTGACAAACTTTTTAGAGAAAACATCTATATCAGCTCGGATTAACGCAGATTAAAAGTTTCACAGTTATTCTATTAGAGGTGATAAAAATACACCCTTTCAAGTAAAGGGGACAGATTTTAGTTCTTATGTGATAACAGTTGCCTAACTAATATTTCTACAATTTCCAGGGACAGCGCTTTAATGCTGCACATTGCTTGTCTTGTACAATACGACCACATTCCTGCTGATGCAAGAGGTACAGGCACAGCCTCCAGAGCATTTTGGCAATTTTACCTCATAGTTAAAGTACACAACAGTCCAATTTTGTTCACTCAGCTTCATACCCTCTAAGACCAATTTCTGTCATCTTCTACACTAGATTCAGAGCAGTGTTTATTCTCCACAGCACATATCATCTCCTGGAGCACAGCTATCAGTGCAGCAAATCCTCTTGCACATTCTCCCAGAGCATCTGAAAACCACTGCTTAAAAAGGGCTCAATGGGATTAGCAAAAAACAATATTCTCCTTCAAGAAACATACAGTGGCAATAAAAGAGAAAAGTGTCAAGGCTGAAGAGATTAAAATAACCCAAAGCAATCATCCTTACTTGTGCAAGGTTTGAGAGGGCCGGTCATTTTTCTCCAGCTGTCCATAGCAGCTCGTTCTTGCCTCAGGAATGAAGGAGTACTTTTCCAGCATGGCTGATGCAGCAGTGGCAATGACCCCCAGGCCATCCCGCACCCGAGCTTCTAAACTGTAGTCCCACTCATCATAAGCTGCTGAAATGAGTCCTGAAGGAAACTCCTTGGGAGTGATTTCTGTGTTACCACTAACCAGGCTAGGAACTATCCAAAAGAAATCATAGCCAGTAAGGCCCAGGGAGCGAGCCTCATCCAGGATGTAGACAGCTTCGTCCTTGGAACAATACAGCAGGATGACAGATGAATGGATTTTCTTCAGCTGAATTTGGGTCTTGGCATCTCCAAAGGCAGTATCGAGTATGATGACGTTCTGCATGTCCCAGCCCACAAAACTGTTTTCCACAGTGGTCTTAATGACATTGATGAAATCTCGATATCCAGGGAAAGTGGTGGTCACCAGAGAGAACACGTGCCAGTCATAATCCTGCATGATCTTCAACATGATAATGGCTTCTTGCTGGATGGAGGCTCCAAACTGGAAGAACGTGGACATGACATCCTGGAATACCAAACACAGCAAAAAATTAGTAACTTAGTACAACTTCAAAGGGAACAGAACCTCTAATTCTTCTGCTTTCTGTTCTACCAGAGCCGCCAAACTTCCATTGCATTCCAGTAACTTTCTGTGGTTTAACATTTTCAGGTCATCAGTAAGCAACACTGATCATAGGTACTTACAGCTAATCAAACTATTTGCCAAAAAGGAACAAACCTATATTTACATAGGAAATTTCCAAGTGCTGAATCACTTGAAGACAACAATTCAAATCAGTAGCTACTGAGGAAGCTCCCTGGGGACAGCTACCCACAGTTAAACAACTCTCCAGCAGGAAGTTTTACATTCCTGTAAACGCATGAATGCAGCCCGACAAACTCACATCAATTTGTATTACAGCAGAAATAAATGGCAACGCACATGCTGTATGCATGCTGGAGGAGCTCTGTACTTCCAGACATAATGTCTGAGGGGGACTTCATTTCCAAGGTTCACTAGACTTGGTGGAAGCTTTCAGACTCTGCAGAAGGAGATTTTCTGTCCCCAGAGACTGAGCTCGCTGCTGGTCCTGCTCTGTTCAGAGCACATGGCCCATTGATGCCTGAGAGAGAATTAACAGGATGGGACTCCAAGGACAACCAGCAATCTGTCAGTGTCCTCATTAAATGGGAATAACTTCAAACAATGGCCTCAGGGTCTGAAATTGCTCTGTAATGTCGCCCAACACAGATTTGTTTCTAAAATTTCTCTTATGATTTACAGAATTCATAACATTTTATACAGCATAAGGGCAGGTGCTGCTTATTTTAACATCATCAGAAATAGGCAGCACAATTCATTTGGTTGGCACTAAATTTCCAAACACTTTCAGTGGTGTATTTTTACTAAGTTGCTGTAAGATCTAAATTTATATTTTTTAATTTTACATTCTGCATTTACATACAATAATTAGAGTGCTTAAACTATACATAGGAATTTGTATAATTCTTTATTTTTATTTTACTTCAGTATTTATTCTTGACCAGTAGAGGCAACTTATTTGCATCATTTTCAGACACAGAAAGCATGAACTCCTGGGGAAACAAAAGCTTATAATTTAAAAATAATATATGAATCATTCAAGATTTCTTATGCAGTCTTCTGAAGGAAGACACAATGCTTTTAATTTAAAGAGTTTTATGATCATGGTCACAAAATGCTATCCCTATTTTATACTTGCAGGGAACAGAAACAGATTAATTGATTTGGGTTTCATGGCAGGGTGGTGTTAAAATACAAATATTAGTGAGAATGATAGCTCAGCTCTGCAAGCCCTGCAAATCTATTCCAGGAAAAGAGTCTGTACTTTTTTAAATAGAAGATGAGGAGTGTTATTGCTTTCCAAGTGTTAAGAAGCTGGCACCAGGATTTTATATAGCTTGACAGCAATAAAAGTCTTACAACTTGTGTCAGACCCTGAAGACTGATATTGAAGGTATAAAATACACACTGCTGGTGGTAATGAAATCATCTGCCATGGCTTCTTTGGTACCTCATGATATTCTCAATGCCAGAGACAGATTTGAAATGTTTTGGGTTAATTGCAAATGTTATAAAATATGTTTTGGAGAAGAATTGAATAAGGAATGTTTGATTGCTGAATTCTTCTAGGAGCTATTTCCTGGTGACCTGCATTAGATACATAAAACCAGCAAATAAGATTTTCATCTGGGGACTCTCACAGCTAAAGGAACTCAGCACAGAGAAAAGCTGCTCAGAGTCAGCATTTAATGATTTAATTACTGATTTACTACTACAAAGTAAAGTTAATATCTACAGACAGTGCCATGAATCCAACTTTGCTGCAGCTCCTAACTGAGCATATAAAATACTGTAATGCAAAGCAAATCACTTCAGTTTTCTTCTCCAGCTCTTATCTTGGTTTCCATTTATGATTATCCTAAATTAGAGTAAAAAGTAAAATAATTTTCAGTAGATTAAGTAGATTATATCCATCATATCCTTTCACTCTTCCCCATTTCTGTATGTGTTTTACATCAATGGAATAGTTCTTTCAAAAAATATATACACCTTGCTCCTTTGTGCATCACAAGGAACTTCTCCAATGAGGTAACTGGAGTATTTGAGGGCAAAAAAAAAAATCACAAGGACATTTTCAAGTGTGACCTTTATAACTAGTAACTACAGATTTTTAACCTAGAGCAGTCCTTAGCATCTTCCCTGGCAATTAAGAACAGTCTTGAGCACAATGCTCTGTGTCACCATTGCAGCAGGCTGACAACAAAGGAGAAGTCATAAAAGTAAATCCTTTACTTTTGTAAATATTATGTTTGAAAAACAGTTTAGAAAGGAGTTTCAGACATTTTCATAAAGGTTACACCCATATTACAAGAACCCATTTCCTGTAATTGTGCATGCAAAGCCTAGTCAAAATCAGGGAACTATGATCAATTTGTGATTAAAATGCTGAAAAGAATCTGTAATTATACAGTGAAACGAAGTTTGGGGTTAGGAAAAACGGAGACACGAACATCACAATTGAGATTCTCATCTGAAGAAATTCCATGTAACTGCACTGACTTCACTGGGTGCTTTTATGGAGCTGAAGACCTGACTGTATTTACAATGCATTTGAAACAGATGGAAGATTACAAGGAAATTGCAGCCTTAGGAACTTCAGCAGATACTTAAATGACTATAAGGAGAATATTCAAGGACATAACCATTAAATGGAGGGGAAGGGGGAAATTTAGTGAAGAAATAGCAAATAAATAAATGAAACCGTATCAGATTCAACTATTGTACTCTAAAACATCTACAGAGCCTTTCATTTTGGTGTGTTTTAAAGCTTCACATTCTTTTCAAAAAGCATATTATTCCTCTGCTTTATACAGAATTAAATTCCATATTTGTAATAAAAAACTAAGTTCCAATTTTCTACATTCAAATGCAAACTAGAATGATGTTTGTAAAAAACAAAATTATTCCGTTATTTTCATTTAACTGTCATCTTGTCATGTATTGAGACATCCATCTAAATCATTGCTGAAGTAGGAATACAGATGTAATATCAAAAGTACTTTGAATGCACACCAGAAATATTTTTCTTTCATTCCTCAATGTCTCCAACTACTGAGATTACTGATGGAGGTTGCAAGGAAGGAGTACAATTTATCCAAGGCAAGAAAATTTTTACATAGGAATTTCTCAGATAAATCTCAAAGCATGACAACCCGAAGATGTTACACTTGGTATGAGTAAAGATTTAGATGGAATAAGTAGTTTTCTCTTCCAACTTCTCAGTTAGATTCCAGCACATCCATGTGAACAAGAAACAGCAGTGAAAAGAGAAGATAAAGAGCAAATGAAAACTTTTTTGTTTCTTGCTGTCTTGCACATGAGTGTACAGTTTACAGCAAAACATATCCCCATATGTTTCACAGCAGAAAGAAGTAATCCTTCAATTTTCTTCTTGCTGAATGTTATTCCTGAATTTTGTATGTGACAAAGTCCTGTCCTTGCATTCAACGTTCCCACACTTGGGCACAAAGCAGCCCAGCTCTCCTGCTGCTGGCATTTTTAGATTAATATATTAGAGTAAGTTATTTTTAATTAGTGTATCCAGTCAATAAATTTGTCCCTGTTGTCAGAACTGCACATTTCACTTCCCAATTCCAGCAAATTACAGGAATATTTCTCTGGAAATCTCATCCTCAGCTATTGTCATGACATCTTATCTTCCCAGCTCTGACTTTTCCAGGAGCTCAGCAGGGGCCAATCCCAGCTGCTGTAACAGCTGAGGGAAGCCCTGGTGGTACTTTGTGCCTGCCAGGGAAAAGGCTGCACGAGTTGGTCAGCTGAGGAAAGAAATATTTGTTATCAGCTTTTGTTAAATTAAAATTAAACTCTAAACCAGAACAAAACTGGGGTCAACAGAGGACCAAATCAATTTTCCACTCCACAGACAGAGAGGGACAGTCACTTCACTAGTAAGACAATATTATGACAGGAAGGGAAAAACCAATATGAAAGAGAGTTTAAAAAGCAATCCAGAGGATGATTTTATTCAAGTAGCAACAAGATTATCATGACAGGACTACAAGTAGTACTTTAATGTTATCTTAATTGCTTCATTCTTACTCTCTTTCACAGAGATCAGCAAAAATAATTTTTGTCTGATTTTGCACCACTGCAAATCATACAACCCATTTTCATAAAGATTTACAGTATATGGTGCCAGGTCCCCATACACAGTGCAAGCTGTTCCCTGTTTAATGAAATATCGTAGTTATTTGTCATTTTTATAAATACTGGGAAAAATGAAAGCCAGAGGTTAGTCATGAATTCAACTGAATAATTTAGCATCACATCAAAAATCTACTGGACAAAATTATTTGTGCTGATCTCGGATGTAGGTAAAAACATGCAGCTTGCAAGGTGCTAACTTGGTACCATTTTTCATGGATTACTTGAAGTGGTGCATTGGTTCCCTGGTAAACATGAAGTGAATTGCATTTCTCTGCCATGAATATCCAGGCCCCAGCCACAGGGTTTTCCTCTGTGGAAGGGCACAGACCCATGCCAAACTTTCAAGTAAATGCAAGCACTGAAGTGGAAGAGTGGGAAGGAAAATCTTTCCTCCAAGACACCCTGCATATTTTTGAATCCTTAAGTTATTAAATTCCGCCTCTATTCATTAAGAGATAGAGCAGGCAATTCCCAACACAAACAGTTCACTGAGGTGCCCAGAGAGAAAACTCCTCCATTATCACCATGGGAGCAATTTGAGGGAGGTTATACAAAAATTTTTACTTCCGTACAAAGCATAGCAATATGTGAGGGTGGAAATAATTTACTCATTTTTACAAAAAACAGAAAATATTTGCTTCTCAAGGACCTGTCACCTCTCTGGCCTCACACATGGTGAATCCAGAGCCAGAAAAATGGTGAAAATCTACTTGGTCTGTAATTTAACTGGTGCAAATGCACAGACATTAAATGTA